TCCTTTTATTCATATCAAACAGAACCCAAAACGAGTGGAGCGTTCGGACGCTAAACAGCTCTACAGCATGCATTTTGGTTGCATGAATACTAGTTTAATAATTAAGGTTTATTAGATACAATGCAAAGATTCAAATGTGACTATATAAGGGCGGAGGCTCTGCACCCAAATGAACCTATGATGTCATGAATAATTTGTAATAAATACTGTAGATACCGTACGTTTTTTAAAATATAAATATTCAATCGTGAAAGTCAAGTCACTTTGGGACTCCTTAAAAGAAATGCCTCATCAAAGGTCAACTACATTTCAATAGATCAGGGAATGTGGCTTTCCTTTAAAACACAGTGCAGTGTACACTTGGTCATTTTTTTAACAAAGGTTTGCAGAAATCTGTAACCTGGCTAACACTCTAAAGGTAAAACTAAGCAGCAACCTGCAGGAAGTGCAAAATCCTGCAGTTCCTCGAGTGTCCACTAGAGGCTGGCTGCAGAAGTACAGGAAGTCACATACACACCCATTCTAAACAGCAGAGATGAACATGTTTACAGCCTGGTTCAAAAAACCAAATAGGTCTGATTATCTCATGTCTCGATCGGCACACACTGTACGGGGGGGTGAATGTTTTGATGACTCATCAGTTTTGATTTGATGAACGATAAGAGTTATTCACAATAAGACATGTAGCTGACCTGATTGACAGGTGGGCGCGGTGTAACGGTGTAACGGTTTGTCAGGAGGCTAAGAATATAAAAAGAAAGATTGATTGATCGTTCTAAGTATTTTAGTTTATTACTTTGGATCTCTAAATCAGTTATAACCAGAAACATTTAAACATTTTCTAAATTCAATTTATAAAGTTTTCTTTCAGTTAGACGTCCTGAAGCTGCAGGGCGCAGAGGGCCTAGCAGTTACCTTGTGCCCCATCTACGGCCAAGTGGGCAGCCCGGGTTCAAGCCCATTCATGGCACCTTTCCTGCTTGTTATTCCCCACTCTCTGTCTCCCAATTTCCTACTCCATTCTCTGTCCTGAGATTGGACCTGTTATTGGTGATCCAAAAATATCTAGTGTTGTACTCTGCAGGTTAATGTGAGAGGAAAACAAAATGACACGACGAAAGACAGAATCAGGACATGCGGGGTGTAAGGCTGCTCAAAAACCTGTGATGTCTCACACAGCTCCGAGAAAATAAAATGTGCAAGATGAGGGGAATCATGACAAGTAATTCCTGCAGGAACATGTTCTGCTAGATGTTAAAAATAAAACTTCTCAATAACTGCTATGAGAAAAAAACAGAGACAAACATTTCTGTCTCAATATTAAGTCTCCTCTAGCTTCCAAAAAATGATGTCCCAGATAATGCCGATACCTTCTATGTTTAAATAAATGAAAAGAAACGGATGATGTGGTGACAGCAGTCCCTCACAAAGCATTTATGTTGCTCCTGATTCCTGACTGTGAAAGATGTGTGTGTGTGTGTGTGTGTGTGTGTGTGTGTGTGTGTGTGTGTGTGTGTGTGTGTGTGTGTGTGTGTGTGTGTGTGTGTGTGTGTGTGTGTGTGTGTGTGTGTGTGTGTGTGTGTGTGTGTCCAAAGATCCTGGTTATTCGCTTCATTTGCCACCGGCGTGGTTGCTATGTCTGCAGTGATAAGGGATTCCCCTGAACTGATGGGCGAGGCAGCAGACACACCCCACTGCCCGGTGCTGCAGAGACACTGGCTGGGTGAGGGGCAGCTCTCGCTCTGACTCGGCAGAAAATGGGAAGGGGTGGAGCTGCCCCCCCCCCCTCCCCTCTGGCATTACCACCACAGCCCCGGTCCTATAGAAAGCAGGTTTTCACAGCGTGGCCCTTAAACACGCTGACAGGTTACTTCTTCACTCTTGGAGTTGAAGATGAAAAAGTAGCTTCTTCTAATATTTGTTTTGTACTCTATTAAAAACAACTTTGACACAGCATTGGCTCACACTGTAGCTGCTGCCTTGTAGCAAAGCAAACAGAAGCAAACAGATATGTAGTTCTCATATTAAAATGAAAGATATGGGCATTCAGGCTGCAGAGGATCTGTACATCATCACTTAAAGGTCAGTATCACAGACACTAGATAAACTCCCGCACAGATAGCCTATTGAGGCCTTTCTTTCCTCCCTCTCCTTCTCACACTGCACAGCATCTCTCCTGCCAATCCATCCGTTCCTCTATCATCTTATTGTTCCTCTTAGTGCCCATACTGGAGAGATGCAGCCTTTGTGGAGCTGTGATAAAACACTGCCCATGAAATGGTGCACTACGGGTGGGCCTGTGCTGCATCTTGGCAGATGCTGCGGCACGCCTCTGTGTGGGAACCTGCTGGAAGAGGTCGAGGACGCAGGGATGCGGTTGCTACACACACAGCATCGATGAACACAGGCGGTCCCTGGTGTTATACACATTGCACAAACACAAAAAATAGAGACATTTTTGCTGCAATATGACACCCAGAGAGCGAAAGAGAGAGAGAGAGAGAGAGAGAGCCTTCTAGAAAGATTTCTGTCCACCGACACCCACGTCTGATTGAAAGGTGAACGCTTCGTAGGTTTTTTAGTGCGCTGCTTCTGCGCAAATCGATCAACCTTCAGCCAACATTGCCTTCCCGTCAATGCGCCAACGTGGAGCAATACGAACACCGCTGCCAGTTTGTCTTTCAGCACAAAGACGAAAAGAAAAAGGAGGGTTTTTTTCCCCCTCTGCAAATCAATGGTGCTCAGCATCATGTAAACCGGAACACGATCATCAGCCCAGCCTGTCACTCTCATCATCATGGTACCACCTATAGCGCGTCCTCGGCTCCGCCACTATGCGCATCTTTTCACAGGATGTCGATTCTACTTCTTTATTAACCACATAGAATCAAAAAGTGGGTTAAATGCCGCCTCATCGACGTGTAGTGCTTTATTTCACTCTGTTCTGTCACAATAAGTCAGCCTGGTGGTCGTTTGTAAAGGAGTCTGTGGAAAGGCACCGCCCCAAGATCAAACAGTCCGCAATTCAGACAACCACAATCCAGCGCAGCACAACGCCAACCACAGCCGACACTTACTGTACATATCACTGGTTTTAATGGTTGCCTTACAGGGTCCAAAAGGTTAGATTATCTCTGACATGTAAAGACATTTAAGGGTAGGTAGGTGGACCTATAGGCTTCACGGGCCTTGCAGTGCTGTTCAAAATGATGTTACTCAAACGGCATTATAACAGCCTCTTATCCTCATCACAGTTATCTCTGTCTCACAAATGGAGCCTTTAATCATAACTTTAATACACCATTTACACCATTTTTGTCCGCTTAACTGGGAATGCTCCCTATCCCAGTAACAGCCTCCTTGCCTGCGTCTTTCCGTCCCTTGTGCCAGGTTGGCTCATCTCTAACATGTCTCACATTTACATGCAGATATGTGATGATATTATCAATACATGTGTTTAAAGAAGGAGACGGGGGGGGGGGGGTTCCAGAGGAAGCCTACTTACCGATTTCATGGCAGCTGCCATATCATCGTACCTCTCCGCCTGCTCGGCCAGCCTGGCTTTCTGCACCAGTTGCTCGCGGTCTACCATTTTTAAGGAGCGTGTGTGTTGCTGTCCTGTCTGTTTCGGAGCTAAAAAAAATCTAATGTAATAATATGAATGTTTTAATGCAGAGGAAAGGGTACCGGCTCCTCTCGCTGCAGCTGCTGCCTGCTGTCTGTGTGCCTGCCGACGGGACACCCCTCCCCCTCCGAGCACTTTCCCTGCGATTGTGTCACCACCCAAAAAGGCGTGTCTTCAGCGAGTGATGTAACGAGCCTGGCAGTCCAGGGAGCATGACAGCACAGCCTTTCGCCCCACACTTAGGCAATGTAGGGTTCACACTTATTATATCAGACAAAAGGAGGCGATTTCCTATAAAGATATGGTCATATGCAGTGGCGATTCTAAAGTTTGTTGGGGCCCTATAGTCGTAAATGCACAGTGGGGGCCCCTCAAACCAGCGTTTATGTTTTATTACAGGGATGGCTGGTGCTGCCTTTCTTACACAATAAAGTTATGGTAAATTATTCTTCAAATAATCATCTTACAACAGATTTTATTTTAATTTTGGTTGAACCTAGAGAAACAAGAAAAACACCAAGCGGTGTAAAATGAGCCGACGTGGAAGTCCTGCAGGTCGCCGAGTGTCCACTAGAGGGTGGCTTCAGAAGCACAGGAAGTCACATACACACCCACTCTAAAAAAGCCTGTTTTTACGGCAGCAATTAATGTTTACAGCAGTTAGAAAAAAACCCATATAGATCCGTCTTGATCGGCACACACTGCATTTTTTGATGACTCATCAGTTTTGATTTGATGAAGGATAAGAGTTATTCACAATAAGGCGTGTAGCTGACCTGATTGACACGTGGGCGTGGTCGTGTAACAGTTTGTCAGGAGGCTTAAAACCCGCCTCAGCTCCAGCTCTCAGCCTGTCGTTAGGTTGACTGAAAGTTAGACTGAGACAGCATTTCCAGCATGGGACTCCAACACCCCCTGTAGGAACAGATGGGTGACGTCACCCAGCCTTCATCCACTAATATTTACAGTCTAAAACATGCAATATCTCTAAAAGGGGAGCCCAAACACTGTAGCATCCTCTTCCATTCACTTCTGTAGAGTGAATGATTGACAGGTTCCATGGCAAGCCCCTCAATTTGTTGATCATTCACTGTAAACCCAGATAAGTTAATTGAACTCAAAAGAAAATAGTTGAAACTGATTACATCGAAAATTTTAAGTTGAACCACCTTAAGACACATCATTTTTAAGTTCTATTAACTTGGCTTTATTACGTGACACTAACTTAATTTTGCAGGTTAATGTTACATGAATTAGTAAGTATCATTAACATGTTTTTTTTTATTTTGAAAGAACAAATCAAAATTAAGTACTGCAAACACAAATACTTTGTTAAGCAGTACCATAAATTATTTATGTTCTTTATAAGTATTTATTTACATTATGTTTATATATATTTTGAGTTTCATTTAGTTTTGAAAACTTTCCTATAATTAAAAAATCGACTTAATTCCAGCTCAAAACTATATTTTGAAGTACTTAAAACATTTGTTGAAACTGATTACATCAATGTTTTTAAGTTGCGTTAACACAATATCCTGAAATACACAAATTCTTAGTGAAAATTAAACACATTTTAACACACGATAGATATAATATCAAACTTCAACCAAAGAAAGTCTGCTATTGATTTCAGAAAGACTCAGCAATAGTTCAGAAACAGTATTAATAAGAAATAGTTTACTAGTGCTAACTAATGGGCAGATTCTGTTCCTTGATATAAAACAAAGCCAATCACGACTTAATACACGTGGAAAACATAAAATACACCACAAAAACCAAAGCATTTCCAACGGAAACATTCAAACTTCGTGTTCAACAGGCATTTTTTCACTGCTCTTTGCAATTCCAAAATTACCCAAGTCCAAGAACAGAAATAATTCAGTGAAGTTTTACATTGTGTGTGTGTGTGTGTGTGTGTGTGTGTGTGTGTGTGTGTGTGTGTGTGGGGCTCAATAACCTAGGCTTCAACTTGCTATCCTCGAGGCCCATTAACATTTTTTGTAAATGTATTGACCCAGACTTTTGAGTAACTTAGATGCAGTACATAAATTAGTGCAAAAAGCATGACTAATGCGTCAGAAAATGTGGGGAAATCGACAACTGTGTTACCCTCAAGCACAACTGCAACCTTCTCGGGGCAGAAGATCTGGTTCATCTGTTGAAGTGGCACTGATCATGAGGAGCCCGGCAGGTATGTTGTTGATTTGCATTCATCTGACAGGGCCACCTACAAGAACAGAGAACTGTAACTACCTAAGCTTTAGTGCATGATAGATGTTGCAGGAAAATTATTACTTCATTCATTTTTTAATGGCAGTCATTCTCCAAAATTACAGAATCTGAGTAAAATAGATGATGTTGGAGAGATCCTGGAACGCTGGCCTGCCCTAAAGATGGAGTCACATCTGAGTTTTTTTTCTTTACTTTTGTGTGAGCAGATGAGGCTGTGACCCTGACAGGTTTCCTGACATTAACATGTAACTACTTTGTGAATATAAAGTGTAGGGATCTCAACATCAGTCACTAAATCTGACAAGCATCCAGGACTTCAAAAGCCACATTACAATTCTAAATAATATGTTGACTTACATCCAACAGCTTCAGAAACCTGGAGTCATCCTCATACAGATATGTAGGGAGAGCACGGAGGACAGCAGCACGTTGGACACTGATGTCAACTTGTTCCTTAAGTGTGACAAAACATTATTCTTAATTTTAAACGCTTAACAGGGAAGGCACACAGTTCATCAAAAGAAATTGCCCTATGATGTCTTTAAATAAGGTTGGGTAATATTTACAGAACTGTCAAATGACAATATAATGAGTGGAAGACTTGATTATGATTTTTTTTTCAAACAGTCTTTCATGATAGAAGACTGTCATCCATCAACAATGACATCGTCATTTAGCCCTTTTATTATCATGCATGAACAAGTATAATCAACTCACCTGGAGGTCATAAGTGTTGAAGAGCTGATCCAGGACTTCGGATACCTTCCCTGTGCGTGCAGCTTTCCTGAACAAACCCTTTCAGACAAGTCTGTCTAACTCAGCATAGAAGTGGTTTTTCAGGTTGATGTTTGTAATGCTGTGAAACTTTGCACAGATCTGTAAAAATAAAAAACAGATTTTTAAGTTACATTGAAGTGCATTTCAAAAGAAAAGGAAAATGAAGGTGTTCACACATTTAAACAAGGAAAAACTTTTAATTTGTTAAATGCTTGTCAGATTTAGTGACTGACGTTGAGATCCCTACACTTGTTAATGTAAGGAAACCTGTCAGGGTCACAGCCTCATCTGCTCACATGAAACACAAAAGTAAAGAAAAGAAACTCACCTGTGACTCCATCTTTAGGGCAGGCCAGCACTCCAGGATCTCTCCAACAGGCAAGTCATCACTGATGACCTCTTTACATCTCAGGGAAAAGGTGGTCTGCAGTAAATTTGGAATCAGAAAGAGGTTTTTGAGCAATAAGTGTGGTCCTTCTACAAAGCATAGAATGATGATACAGTGAACAGGTTTTAGATACATTTCCCTTTTGTGCATCGCTCACATCTGTATTCTGTTCACAGTGATTGTGCACAATAAATGTCTATTAAAAGTCTGTGCTTTGAATACCTACCAGATTGCAGACTCCAGATATAACCAAGTTGCTTGTGTTTAAGCCTTAAGACAAAGAAAATAAAAAAATAGCTAAGCTGTACATTTTTGCAGAAATGTATCTTTACAGTTTATTTACAGTAAAGGAGTAACAGAAACACGACTTACAGAGTGCTGGCAGGAGGGCTCAAAGATTTTGTTTTTTGTTTACTTGTTTTATTAGCCTATTGGTGCAGAACAGTGTCTTTATTTCTGGATAAACAGTGTTTACTCATTGAACAATTGCTAAGCAAAATACAAGGAGAAAGCTCCCGCTTAGCTCTGGGTCCATGGTAAATATCACTTCAGGACAGGGTCAAGTGTCCTCACATACTGGAGGTTATTTTACAAAGATGTAGAGACACCAGCTTTAAAGTTAGTTAGTGTTACCGCGCTAAATGTGGTTATTTTCTATACTACCAGCCTTATTTCTAGAGTTTACCTGCCTTTCAGAAAAGCATAACAAATGATAGCACTCAAACAAACTGTGTTAAGACCTCTGGTTGTCTGCCTTCCACATATGGAGGTCGACAAAACAAAAGCGGTCGAGTAACATTGCAATTTTAAACCTACATAAAGACTTAGTGTCTACTTGAAAAGTTAAAGAAATATAAGTAAACTTATTAATATTTTTAAAATGTTTTCACATTGAATAGGGCAAACTGCATTTATTAATTAGGCTAACTTCGCCACAAAAGTAAAACAAAAAACACGTATTCACTCTTCATACTAAATGCATGAAATAGCTGCGGACATGAGAACTATTTCATTAAATGAAGAAACGATATCAAAAATAAGTTATTACTCACCAGATTAGCTCAAAGATAGCACCAATGCTACAGCAGTCAGTGCATTCGGCAGAGTAGAGACAAAAACTCCTGCATGTCCGAACAAAAGTCCCTTCAAAAGTCTGCGTTTTGCTCCATAAACTAAACAATATCGCCTTGTTGTGTCCAAATTGTTGTAAAGTTGTAAAGACTCGATGTGAGAGCAAACATGGCGGACTCTCCTTCAGGTGAAAGCACGTACGTACGTGACCGTGACGTCATGCAGAGCCGCTCAGACAATTTGAGTACAATTATGAAAAAGATTAAATTGATTGAGCACTGTATACTTGAAACTAAAAACGCGTTCTAATAACTTATAGTATAGTAAAGATATAGTTGAAATAACTGTTTTGAATTTCCGAGTTCAGACAACCCATTTTCTTTTGGCAGGCTTTTACTGTTCGGTCTGAAGTAATTCTGCCCACAGGCCACCAACATGAAGCGTTAGAGGCTAAGGAATAAACTTAACTTTATAACCCATCTAATTTGCTAAACATTGTCATTGAGAGAAGAAGAACATGCTCACTGATTGTTTGGCTGTCATGTGAAGTGTTTTTAGATAACGGTCATTCTGTGTTAATCTATATTTTGAAGCTACGAGCTAACCAAATAGCGCTAACATTATCATGCTAACACAACAAAGCAGGACACAGGTCATTGATGCTTGAGCAAAGGACAATTTTGTCCTCCGCTTGGGCTTAGTGGTGCTTAATTATGGTGCTTTGTACTTCATAACTCCTTCATGAGAAGTGGAGAGGGGTTGGAGGTGTGTCTCTGGAGGAGAGCGGAGGCTTCAGTATGGAGGAGGCGTGGCCAAACAGAAGTTTGTTTTGGTTTCATGCTGGAGCTCAAGAGCCACAACTACTGGATCAAAAAGTTGCACATTCTTCCTTTAACTAAAGATGAACATGTATTTCTGCCTTTGCATCCTGAAGTAGAGAATAACATTGTTTCATATTCTATAAAGTGCTGATTTTTTAAAACTATTTCAGAGGAACTTTAATGAATGGAGTTACTTAAATAAATGCATTTACTGATCTTAATTTGTAAACAGTTAAATATCCTTAATGGTGTAAATTTACAATCATAAAGTCTTTCCCATCTTTGCTGTTAACGAGTATGGTTTGAAAATAATTTAGTCTGTCTCGTATATGTCGGTCTCAAAGAAAGGCAGAGTATTCAATAAATAAAAAGTGATACGGTTATTGTTCTGCTGACTGGTCCTTGAAATATAATCCTTGGAGGGTCATTTGACAGACTGAGTTTGTTTTATGATCTCATCATTCAGCTTTGAGCTTCTTCACAGCACAAAATCTATCTTTCAAGAAAGGCCGGGAGTTACTAATGACAACTACAACGTCTCTTTTGTCTGACAGAGAGCCAGCGGGAACATAAATTAAATTCAACCATCATAAAATAACAAACGTGAGATTTCCGTTCTGTTCCGTGTCAAATATTCTCAGGGGGAAAAAAAGACCTACTTGGCTTTCCTATGTTTGAATTCTTTAATGTGCATGAGAAACACTGGATAAAGTGCTTAAACTGGAGGAATTACTTTAGACTCTTATAACTCTGATGTCCTTCAGCTTTAAGCTCCCATTACTTCTGTATACATGCAGGATTTATGGACAATAAACAACAATGTTGTTTTATATACAATAGACATTGTTTATTGGTTCCCAGGATTTTTGCAGGAAGTTGAGCGTACAGCACTCAAAAAGAAAAAAAAAAAAAGTACAACAGTCCAAGACTCAGACATCGTAACCGATGATGCCTCGTTTGCCGATGCACTCTCCGATGTAGAACCACATCAACACTTCGGTGGCGACCAATCCATTCCTGAAAGCATCCTGTGAGGAAACAAAAGAACTGGAATAAGACACAATCACAGGGGCCAATTGAGCTACAGGTGATATTAGCATGTGACAACATGTTGCAGGAAGTTTTTTTTTCCCTCTTTTTAAATATAAACTTTAACTTTTTTTTATGCCTTTATTTTTAGAGGTAGGACAGTGGATAGAGTCAGAATTTAGGGAGAGAGAGAGAGATAGAACGAGAGAGAGTGGGGAATGACATGCAGGAAGGATTGGACAACTATACATGAAGCGCCAACTGCAAGCTACTTGTGCATCCCCAAACTTCGAATACCACTGATGAAAACCTCTCACCTTACTGTATTCACTGTTTGACTACACAATAAGTGACTAACTCGCACTAGTTTTTGTGGTGTGTCCGGCTCCCTCGCTACCTGTCAGCCCCTGTCTTTTTTCAGCAACATGTCGGAATGGCGGTCGGTGAGAGGAATCTCTCTGATTGGCTGTTGGGAGGTTTCATTTCTCTCCAGCTCTCGACACAGGTTTTGTAAAGCCCCTTGAGCATGCCGCTGTAGTATCCATGCTTTCACTTATTAGTGCAGTTTCTCCTTATTTGTCACCTCTTCTTTTTCCACTAAAAGACCGAGGACTGACAACGCCAGCGCCATTTTCAACTTTTCATCAGACCTTATTCTCGATATGTAGGCTACCTATAATACGAGTGGTGAGCGACAGCGGTGTGAAAATGTTCTTGTATCATAACAGACTACCGCCCCCTGCTGGCATGGAGAGTTATTTCCTCTCACCCTTGCTCAGAACGTACGTGGTGGTTGATCGTCAGCTGTAGTCTTTGCGTTGTGTTCAAGTGCAACTTTTTGGCCAAGACAAATGTGCCGTGAGGGGACGCAAAAATGTATATAAATTGTAAAAGTTTTCATCAGAGTAGTCACTTGTAGACCAGAGCGAACAGAGCCGTGCAATGAATCACTTCTGTCTTTATTTTGGATTCACAAGAAACATGTTGCAAAGATGTATTGTGAAAAAATAAAACCATGGGCTACAAATCAAAACTGAGTTTAAGCTGAAATTGATTCTTTAATATTTATTTATTGCACTTCAAATCGTCATCGCTCTGACGAATATAGTTGCACATTAAATATTTTTCTCATGTCTTAGGCTGCATTAAGGTACTCCTCTGAGGTCAAAGTTTCCGAGTTGGGAAGTTGTTCTTCCGACTCAGTTCAGAAGAAGAAATGTTGCAAGAACTACAAAAAAAAAAAAAAAACGTTGATAAAAAGTATGTTAACATTAACAAAACATATTTTGACCCCATATGATGACGAATATGACAGCAAGTCAGGAGGCTGTGGCTCAGTTGGTAGAGTCATCGCCTTCCAACCGAAAGGTCAGGGTTTGATCCCCAGCTGAGCAACATGTCCGATGTGTCCTTGGGCAAGACACTTAACCCTGCATTGTATGAATGGATTAGTGTTGTACTTACTCTCTGATGTACGTCGCTTTGGATAAAACCTAATTCTTTTGAGTTTCCAAGTTGTTTTCCAACTTAAGCAGCATTTTACAACTCGGTAACTCGTTTTCCCGATGTGTCTGATACCACAGGAATGCAACATAAGGCCTAATTCCTTTTCTCTCTTTTTTTCTTAAGGTTAGCAATGCACCGATTAGGAAAAACCAGGACTGACTGCCGCTTGTTTCATGACGTCCTTTGGTGTTAGACTCCCACAATCCTGACGTTTTCTCTCAAGTTTGTTGAACAGGTGACTTCATCTGCCCAATACAAAACCTCTGAACTAGATGTCAGCATTAAATGAATTTTGCAACAAATAAAAATGGGCTAATTATACCAGGTCATGCTACAGTATTTGCCGATGCCTGTCAGCATGTCTGAAATCGGCTGATACTGATTGATGTTGAACAGATGAATCAGTGCATCCCCTTTTACTTTCCACTATATTAAAGAGATGATTCAATCATTGGATAGTTTATGTACACTAACACAAGGACACAACAAGGTGTGTCTGTTTGTTACACACACCTTCACTGTGGTTTGACCGAGACGTCCTGACTGAAGCCCCTTCAGGAGGCTCGCTGCCCCCTCGATGGCCTTGGGGATCTCAGCAGGGGACGGGGGGACAAGCTCAACACGGGCGTAGTGCCAGAAGGTGGCTAGTCGAGGTTTGGAGAAGGTGACAGCGGCTAGGAGAGAAGAAAAACTACGATTAGAGTCTGCTGTAACCTTTCTTTGCTGCAGCAGAAGTTATCTTTGAGCTGCAGAGCTCCCCTACATGCACAATGATAGCATTAGCATCTTAGCTTAATGTCTTATTGAATGTAAACAGAACAAGTCACGCATGCTAGCTAGCGAAAAATAAATACATTCATATAACAAAAATAAAGAAAAACATCTTAACGCAGTACTTGTTGAAGAAAATGTGAATAATAACTCGTTAAATCAAGTCCATTCATTCAGTAGCTCTCGGTTTAAATGGCAGCGTCGGCCCTGCTAGCAGCACGTCACGTCAATAAAAGATTAAAACTCTCAGTATTTTAATATCCCGTCATCGTGAACAAGGTTATCATCCATAAAGAAACAGAACAACTTACCACCAACCAGAGTTGGTACTTTAGCGACCAGTTTCTGCACTGCCTGTGCCATGTTGACCCGTCTGTGCTAAGTGCTAAAACGACTGAATGTCACCTCCAGTACGAGCAAGGACCCCGCCTGTCTGAGGCTGACCGTGTAGCTGCCTGAACAGAAAACGGTCCTTTCGTCGGGATATTTATACTTTACGTCATATATATATGTTTTTTTAATGACGAATGATATCAAGACGTTTTTAGGATAATATCACAGTTTCATCTTTTTGTTGTTATGCCTCAAAGCTCAGTTACATAATCATTCAATGGTTAAGCTAGTCTATCAAATATCGCTAAATGGCCACTAGAGGGCGTCGTAAACCGCATGTTTTTGTTCACATAGTTAACATACAGTATATTTAAATATTTTATTACAGTAGAAGGTGAATATTAAGGGCATTACAGGCAGACATTAAGATAAGGATTTACATAAAAACATGATACACACATTTTATTATTTCAGCTTTCCAGGTTTTACTATTGACTGATCTCAGAGAAGACAGGAATTGTTCTCATTCTGGGTCGAGTTGCCCATACAACTCCTGGGCAAAACAGGGAAGTTAATCAAAGTAATGACTAACACAGCAGGCTACATAGGATCGAGAGGATTCATCATTGTTTGCAGGACTTGATCCTTCAATCAAATCCATTGGCCATGCTAGAGTCTGTTGGGGCCCGAGCCCGAGGCAAAAATTAATTGGGGGCCCCTCCAGCCAAAGTTCATCACCATCATATCCCTAACACCCCTTCTTTTTGTTTCCTTTTTCTTTTTCAATCCCTGGCAGATAATTCATTTTCATTTTCTTTCTGTGACTTTCACTGACCAACTGTAGTTTTTAGAGCAAGGAAGCATGCAACGCTTAGCATGCAGGGCAAGGAGAGTGAGTGCTGTCAGATGAGGCCCCTGTAGTGTCTGATCACAGAGAGGTGCGGATGCTCTAAAAACACCTGAGCTCATCAGGGGGGGAAAACATCTGGGAGCTGGGCATACGGGCAAGCAAATAAAATAAGTGGGAAAAACACATTTGGAACAAATCATCACTTTCACATTTCTTTAGAAATTGTTTCATGCTTTCATTTATTTTTAATATTTCCTTTTATATGTTTATATCATGAAGGTTCATTTATGTGGTTAAATGAGTGTACAGAAACATAGAAGAAAAAATGACACTTAAGATGTGACAGAAAGAAGAAATAGTTTTATTTCCAACGCTCTGATACTTCCTGTCCCGTATAAATTCATAATAAACACTCGCTCTAGTCTAAAGGAACAAATATATATAACATTTGATGTGTAAAACACAAACAAAATAATATAATTAACACTTTTTATAACTTAATACTTCACCGATTGATTCTCTTTTTATCACCATCTATTTTTTTAATTTCACCACAGACTGTAAATACAGATAAACAACTTTACATTGTTTGAACTTCCTTAGAGCCACAGGCTAAAAGTCTCAGTATAGAAAGACTTTTGAGTTTGCAGAGATTTCCAAAATTGTCTTCATGTGTTGTATTTAATTGAGCTCTTACATTAGGTTACTGTGTTAGTCTAAATGTATGGATGCAAAATACTGAACTAACTCACTGAGGTGTTTTGAATCATACAGACAGGATTCATTTGTGGTTTGTTTAACTGACCCTGCTGAAGTTTCATCCAGCTTATTTCCCGCTTCTTGTTTATAAACCCTGGTAACATGGTCGATATCTGTCATGATTTGTTTTGTTAATTTCAGTGTTTAGATTTCATTTCCCACAGACTTTGTTTCTTGTAAAAAGCTTTTGTTTTTGAGTTTTTTGTTAAATAAACAAGTTTTCTTTTCTGCTCATGGTTCCTCACGTTTCTTTTATCACTCACCGTGACAGTATCATAACAATAATAATCGACATTATGCTTCGGAACCATGTGGAGCTGAACCCGTTTAAGCCCGTGGAGTTGCCAGCGGATTTCAGGAGAATGATGCATTCAAGTGGTGGCAGACACATCGGAAAAAAACAGTTTTTGAGTTGTGAAGTGCACATGAACGGCTGCTCAAGTCAGAGCAACAACCCGGAAACTCAGGGAAAGAATGAGGTGCCCGACTGCCCAAGTTGAAATCAATATCATCATCAACATGGTGTGTAAAATATGTTTTGTAAATGTTAAGATACTTTTGACTAGTTCACGTATTGCACATAAGGTTTTTGCTCAAATATAACTTATAACAGAGACTTTCCTCACATCTTCTTTGCAGCAGTTTGAAACGTGAACACACTGAAGTCAGAAGAACGACTTACGACCATCAGAGGAGCACATGAATGCAGCAGAACCCCCCCCCCCCTTAAGTGTAGTATGTTAATGTGTTTGTATGTGCATGAGAGACATGTAAAACCAGAGTCCTATTCCTTGTATGTGCTCACATACTTGGCCTTTAAAACTGATTCTGATGAGTTTCTCGTTCATCTCGGTTTTAAGTCTTGTCGGCAGGCGTTTTGTCTGAAGCTCACAAAAACGATATATCACCATTTTCTTCCTCCTGCAGAGATAAAAACAAAGACAATGTTGTAATGATATCACAAAATAGTTTAACTGATACAGGTGTAAAACACATTATGATGTATAAGCTACCTCGCTGTCAGTGATATCTTTTGTCGGTACGTCAATGTGCTTCGGTTTGCTGTAGGCAGTTTTATCCATGACTTTCATGGAGACAAAATGTCCTCCTTCCTTTATGAGCGTAATCACATATTCTAGATATTTGTCCTCCACATTTTGTCCGTTGACTTCCATCACCACATCACCTACACGTAGTCCTGCATCATGCCCAAAACTCCCCATAAGCCACCTGGGAGGAAAAAACACCATCATAACATTTGATAAAAACAAGTTATAATATGCCAACCTTTTCTTTTCTTTTTGCATTAAGGACTTTAGTGAAAATGTTCAGCCTCACCTGGCTGATGAAGGTCCCGGGACTCTGTGGGACGCAGTCAAGGTTAAAGCCAAACCCCAAAGGGCCTTTTTGGATAGTACAGAGTCTTGGCATGCACGTGGCATCCATTTCTTCTTTCTGTGGTGACGGTTCTTCTGCAGGAGACAGTGTCATCTTCTCTGTTTCTCTCTCAACAGAATCATCCTCACAGAAGAGGAGAGGGGACAGACCCAACTGTAGACATGAAATAAAGGAATTAAGAAATGCACACCCTTATTAACTAGATGTGAATTCTACAATTCATGTAGCAGACACTTTTTGTCCAAGGTGATGTACATGTGGGAGAAGGTACAGCACACGCACGGATCTAGAGAAGCAACATCAGTAAGTGGAAACAAACAGCTTTAAGTCTGATCCGACTTGGGCGTGGGTGTTCATGAAAGAGCGGGGTCTTTGCAGATTTAATGGAGGTTGGTAATAAATTTCACCACCAGGGGGCGACAGAGGAGACCAGTCCAGCTAGAGACTTGGGCCTTGGTGTGAATGTTGGATCAGACGCCTGTCATTGGGCGAGAGGCAGTAGCGGAGCGAGTGTCGGGGCAGAAGGTGCGACCGCCCCGGGCCCACTGTTGTATCAAGGGGCCCACTTTGAGCCAAATTTAACATGCATTTTGTTATTAAATTGAATTTTCGAATAAAGTTAGCTTGACTAGGTCTGAGTCTCACTTTTCTTTTGCCGCAATCAAGACACACAATGTATTTTGTAGAGCAGAGAGGGGCCCCCCTCCACTGCCAAGGGGGATCTCAACTTCGGCAGCAAACAGCACCAGCAGGGTGCTGTGGCCTGTTTGTAATGTCATTGATTCCACCTCTTAGCACCCCCTTTGCTGGGCCGCCGCTGCTGTCTGGAGTTTTAAAAACCTAGTCGTCTGTCTGCTTTATTTCTGTTTACCTCACAGTTTTTTGTAACATTAAAAGTGTAAAAAACTAAATAAAAAATGTTTTCTCATTGACAACTCAACCCTCAACAACTCAACCTGGCGAGTCTCCTCCCGTTGCTAGCTCCACTAACCTAAACGCTACTAACCAAGCAAATAAACATGTTAGAGAGGAGCACCCAGCTAGCTGCAGGAAAGCAACAGTGCTGATGAAAATTTAGTTGGTAAGTTGTTTCATCATTATTTGAGATTACGCTTAGATGCTGGTCTTTAGTTTGTGGGTGCATGTGTTGTAGACCGCCGTGTCTGCTTGGTTATCGTACTGTATGAACGGCAGGCCATTGCTGTCACACTGTTTACAAAGTTTGTTGTTGTGTGTGGGTTGATAATGTGTGGTTTTATTGTATTGTCTGTTTGGCTGGATGAGCGTCCAACTTCACTGAATGTCAAACTGTAGTTGCCTTCTATCTTTGGTTTCCTGTCCGGCTAATGAAGTCTGCTTTACTTGTTTAATCGGTGGAATATGCACACAGACATATCAGCATTTGTTCTGCTTAAATATCAGCAGGTCACTCACTGATAAGTCCCTGTCACTGTAATAGCACCCTTTATAATCTGCAGCGGCATTTCTCTTCGTCCCGCCCCGTCTTGTATCTCCATACAGACGATATTATACCATAAATGCAATACAACATTACTATATAGGCTACAGCATATGCTATATAGCCTATAGACAGTTTAAGGGCCCACTATTGGTCCCCGCCCCCTCTGCAATGACCCATAGGTTCCGCGCCTGGCGAGAGGGAGTGTAGACCTGGATGGAAGAGTTTAGGTAAAGAGGAGCCGGTTTTGTTGCAACTCTACATCCACTCTGAAGGAGAAATGCACAGTCATTTCTGCCATCACTTGGACGACATTACAGTTTGGAAATAGACTTGTATACAGTAAGTGATGCCCACCTTGGAGTAAAAATCCAGCCCCTGAGGAGTGATGGTGGTGATGGAGACCTTCTGTCCGCTCAGTCTCATTCTGTCTACGATCTCCTGATGATTTAGTGACTCCACTAACTCTCCATTCACCTCCAGCAGAACCTCTCTGTCCTTCATACCCGCTCTCTGTGCTGGACTGCCATCATCCATCTCACACAGAACATGAGCTGTCGTTCAGAAACACACACACACACACACACACACATTTAACACTCATGATCTCAATCTATTGAATACATGCAGACCGTAGAGAATAATACACCATCAGACAAAGTGTTGTACCATAAACTGTAACTACTGAAGCCTGATTGATGTCACCCATCTGTTCCTGCAGGGGGCGCTGAAGTCCCATCAATGGTGGTCTCCATGCTGGAAATGCTGACTCACCCTAACTTTCAGTCAACCTAACGACAGGCAGAGAGCTGGAGCTGAGGCGGGTTTTAAGTTCCATGAGAAACCGTTACGCCTCGCCCACCTGTCAATCAGGTCAACTACACGCCTTACTGTGAATAACTCTTATCCTTCATCAAACGGATGAGTTATAAAAAAATTCACCCCCCGTACAGTGTGTGTCGATCGAGACATGAGCTAATCAGACCTATTTGGTTTTTTGAACCAGGCTGTAAACATGTTCATTTCTGCTGTAAAAACAGTCTTTTATTGTACATGTGTGTATGTGACTTCCTGTGCGTCTGCAGCCAGCCTCTAGTGGACACTCAAGGTACTGCTTGATTTTGCACTTCGGCATCAGCTTGAATTTTCAACACTGGAGGTTGCTGCTTGATTACCCCAATGATTGCACATATTAAGAATCAGGAAATAATGATTTGAAGTCAGTGGGAACGAAGTGATAGAGTTGTGTATAATGTGAATTATTCCTTATCTATTAGTTATGGCAACCTCTGGTGTCAGCAGCATTTGTTTAAGGGTTAAGTCAAACACGATGTCTGTTTATTCTTTCTTTTAGATTGACATTTTATCCGTCCACTTACATGTGCGTCCTGATGCCGCCTTCTCCAGCCGGAGCAGGAAGCCGTAGCCCTCGGATCCTGAGACCAGGTGGAGTTTTCTGGCTTTATAAGGCAGATTGTGTGGAACAGCCATGGAGGGCAGGATGGGCACCCTCTGCTGTAGGTAGCACGTTTCACTCTCGCTGTCAATCACTAGGATGGTGATGCGGTCGCCACATTTTTTCATCTGCAGAAAAACATTATTTAGAACTGTTAGGCAAGGTTGGAAATCGTGCAATCAGAACACTTCAGAAATTTTGAATCACACAGGGAGATTTTGTACCATCCTGTTGAGTGCAGCGTGTGAGAGATCAGACACTGCTGCTCCGTTCATCCACACCAGGCGATCTCCCTTAAACACCCCCGCCTTTGCTGCTGCACCTCCTGCAACCAGGCTCACAGAGAAGCGACCTTTCTCTCCTGCAGAGCAGAAACAGGAGATCCACCTGATAACGCTGCTCACACTTCACCTCAACATCCCCTCCGTTTGTATCTAACCTCAAACCTTGGACTCGTTGTGATTATCAGGAGTGGTCTTACCTTCCACAGGTGTGAAGTTGATGCCCAGACCTGAGACAGGATCCCTCTTGATGTGACAGAGTCTGGGGGGTTTGAAGGTCTCGCCTTTGTGCGTTCTAGCCAAACCTCTGAGGTCTTGACCTTGAGACAAAGCCTGCTCATACTCCTCCCCATCCAACACCGATAAACACAACTGGTTTCCACTCAACCTTATCTTTGCAGCCACCTGATTCAAGAAGAATGAAACAAAGTGGGTACAGTTAGAATCCTTTAGAGAGGTTTCTGTCAGGGTCATAGCGTAGTGAGCTAATCCTACCTCAGGATGGGGAACATCATCTACATAACAGTTGTTGACTTCCAGTAGTCTGTCTCCGTCTCTGAGTCCACTGCGCTCTGCCACCCCTCCTGACACCACGTTTCTGATGATGTGACCCTCGCGCCCCCCTTCTATCCGCAGGTGGAAGCCGTAGATTTCCCCCTCTTCTCGTTTCAGAACACACAGACGAGGGCTGGGGGAGGACACTGAATCTGTGCAGACAAGAGACAGAGAAGAGCTGTCAAACCTAGCTGAGGAGAGTTTCATTTTGGTCTAAAAAAACAGAAAACTACAAATAATTACAAAAGTGATCAGAATATACCTGCTTCTTCTGTGATGACCATCACTGGGTTGTCGATTCCTTCTTTAGGATTAAATGTAAATTTTCTGCAGAGGGACATAAAAGAAATATGTGACTTTATTTCAAAATGAATGACTGTAGGACAAAAGAAACGTACATTGTTCTTCTTCTTTCTGCTATAACATTTGATAAACTGAGTCAGTTGTATTTTTCCTATATAGCACTTTGAATGTAGCTACTGCCAACTAGTGGCCTTTGTATGTTACTGCAAAATACAGTTTGACCAATTAACATGAAACTATTGATTAACATGATTATGTTGTGGAATGTATTTAACAAAATTGAAATAAATGTAAGTTATAATAAATTGGCATAACAACAAAAGAGTTTATCGTACCCTGTTTCTATCCCGGCTTATTTTAATCTTTCTTTTTTCAGCCGCATCCATCATTTGCTCATATTTGATCGCTGGCTTTAACTTAAGGTGATATTGAATTTTTTACTAACTTTTATTGTAAGACTTGAACAAATGGTTAAACGGTTAATATTTCATTAAAATTTGAGGCGCAGATAGTGGTTAGGTCACGCCCCATACACAAGGATTAAGTCCTCCAAGCAGGCAGCACGGGATCAAGACCGACTTGCAGCTCCTTCCCCGCATGTCACTCCCATAGCCGGTAAACATTACTGGACGAAGTCCGAGTGACGTCACACATTTGTTACTGCAGGGGGCTCTGATGTCACGTCGGTAGCCACCGCCGTGCTGGAAATGCTGCCTCAGCCTAACTTTCAGAAAACCTAATGACAGGCTGAGAGCTGGAGCTGAGGCGGGTTTTAAGACTCCTGACAAACCGTTACACCGTGCCCACCTGTCAGTCAGGTCAGCTACTTGCTTTACTATAGATAACTAATCAGACCTATTTGTTTATTTGAACCAGGCTGTAAACATGTTCATCTCTGCTGTAAAAAAAAAAAAATTAACGGGTGTGCATGTGGCTTCCGGTGCTTCTGCAGCCAGCCTCTAGTGGACATTCGAGGAACTCGTGGATCAAACACTTTCCACTTGATCGTCCCCCACTCGCTAACGGTTTCCTACATTCACTGTCCTATCAAATAAACACAAGAACCCCCCCCAAAAATAAATCTACATTTTTTGAAAATATTTCATTACAACTGTCAGGTGACCTCCCAAACCTCACCTGTTATAATCATGACTAACAGCAGCGTTTATCTGTGCATGGCAGGCTTATCTTGAGCCCAAAGTCTTAAGATTACTATGTTCCAAAAGTCAGCAAGTCCAGCAGCGTCAATATTAACTTTTAAATCCTGTTCAACTTTAATACTTACATACCAGATAATTGATTATGTATTTAGGAGATATTAACACAGATATTCTGTTTTCAATGAGTGTTTCTGTTCTATGATTTTGGTGTTGACAGTTATACGTAAAGCAAACTTACTCTGTTAAACTGATGACTTCCACCAAACCTTGAAAAACAGAGATCATAAAAATTAAAGGACTTAAGCAGCATAACATCAGAGTACTCACATTTGATAAGCTTTACATGTTTACAAGCATTTCTATAAAATAAATAGTGATTATTTTCACTCTCAATCTGCATAATGAGCGGATCACATGTTGCAGCACAGCAACACAAATCAGACATGATCAATACCTGTCAATCAAAGGGAGGTCGTTTAACTTACATCTGATCTCCGTGAACGTCGGCTGCCTTCTGTCTATTAAACTGTGAAGCTTCAGCTTATTACACACCAGCAGAGGATCACATGTCTCCTGACTGAGGCACCATAAAACAGGGTTTGACTTTACGTGATAATCTTTAGTCTTTGTCCTCCTCTAAAAAGGTGGGAGGGAATTAAAGAACATTTAAGTCTTTAAAGTTTCTTACGACACGTCTCATGCCTGAGTGATGGATAAAGTGTCATGTCTTTGCAGGATTGCAGGCACAGAACTTAATGAACTTAACTTGATGAAATAAAAATTGTCCTTGTACACTTTGCTCTTCCCTCTTTAGCAAATCTCAGCCGTCATACGCCGAGAAAGGAAAAGTGCAAGAGCAATATCATTGTAATTCCAGCAAGTCAGGCCATGACATCTTGGAGGTTTAGACATTAATTAAAGGGGCATTAAAGGAAGAATGTGTGACTCTTTGATCCAGTAGATGGCGCTCTTGAACACCAGCATGAAACCAAAACAAACTGATATTTGGCGACACCTCCGCCATACTGGAGCCTCCGCTCTCCTCCACTGACACACCTCCAACCTCCCTCCACTAGCGTTTGCACAAATTGGAACGTACCATAAATAAGCACTAAGCACAAGCGTCGGACAGCAGGCTAATGTTAACGCTCTTTAGTTAGCTTGTAGCTTCAGCTTACATGACATCCAAATAATCAGTGAGTATCTTCTTCTTCTCTCTAGTCCTTGACTAAAACAGCTTTTATACACAAGGGGAGGAGCCGGCCGTCCCTTCCATGTAAACACGGCTCTAACAACAACATAGCCAGTGGGATTCGAGCCTCTCCCTCATTGTAGACAGTCATGACTCAGAGACACATTTACACAGGAGATACTGGATTTATAATATATTTATGTGTAACATGTCGAACATTCTTCCTTTAAAGGCAGGGTTGGTAATTTTCGAAAACTAGCATGATTTTGAAAGTAGCATTTCCTCAGTGCCCTGTCTACACCCAACCCCTCCCCTCTGTGCTCCCTCAAAAGCCACGCCCCTCACTTACATGCACGAGCGCCGTTGCTCGTTTCATGTCTCATTCAGCGGTAAGTAAACACTAAACCATAGTACATGTTTTAAAAAACTTAACTACTTTACTAATCACATCAGCCAACAACAAACTCACAGTATAACCTCCGTCATCGGTGACGCGCTTTGAGTGTGGGCTCGTGCACCCAAGTGTTAGAGAACGAGCAGGAAGACAGGGAGGCGCCTGATTGGTTCATCAGATTGGTACCTCGTGGCAGACATTGGTCAAAGTTTTTACAGGCTTACAAACTGATACAGAGGACAGATTCTCTTTGTTAATTTTTGAGAGCAGGTGAGTTATTAATTTCTGTCAGGACCTAAAGACAACTTCAACCAAAATCTTAAAAAGTGGATCTGGAGAAAATAACCATCCCTGACTTTGATATCTATGAATTTCATTTGAATTAATTCTTACTAACAGTTTGCAAAGTGTGTCCCAGGGATTTGACCATTCGACCAGGTTTAAAAGAGGTTGTCTCTTCACTGGGTCTAACTGTTGAGATGTTGAATGCATTTTTAGTGGTGTCTGAAGTAAGTAAGCCTGGGTATACTCCTTATTTCCCCCCCAGATGTTTCTTTTTAATTGGCCCATGCACTAGAGGATAAACGGCCGCCAACATTTAAGACAACAAGAGGACATTTAGAGGTGAGTATGGAGACTGAAAAAATAAGTGTGTATACTCCTTCTACCTGAGTGTACCCTGCACTACACCACTGATGATGCTGTTTTCTTTTGTGTTGTTCATTCTGTCAAATGAGCTTTGAAGCTTTGACTACCTTCCTTTAGCACACTACAAGATCCATCCATCCGTTATCTACACCACCTTGTCCCATTTGGAGCCTGGAGCCGATCCCAGCTGTCATTGGGTGAGAGGCGAGGTTACACCCTGGACCATTCACCAGCCAATCACAGGGCTGAAATATAGAGATAGACAACCAGCCACACTCGCATTCACACCTACGGACAATTTAGAGTCTCGAGGTAACCTAACGAGCATGTCTTTGGACTGTGGGAGGAAGCAGGAGGGACTAAAAGATGCACTTAAAGAAACTACAACTTAAAGATCTAAACTTCATGCTGTTATGTAAACATATGTTGCCAGTTCTTACAGTCTCCATAAAGTAGTGTTGTGTTCAAAATCGGTCTCGGAAGATGATGAAGCTTCAGTGATATTTATGGTCCTGGTCTTGGTCTTGTCTCGGTCTGGCCCTGCCTTGGTTTCAGTCTTGACTCTGTCTCAATCCCTAAATGTCTTGTTCTAGCCTCAGTCTTTGAGCACTCTGGTCTCAGGTATGTCTTGGTCTCGGTTAGTGTGGTCTTGATTATGCTATCATAGAGATCGTATATTATATCAGCACAACAACCTCAAGGTGTACATTTCAAGCAGGCATATAAACGCCATAAAACTTGTTATTATCACGATTTAACTAAAATCTGTTTATCTTATGTCATCTCAGTCAAGGTTGAGGTCAAAGGGTGTTCGAGCTTTCTCTGTGACATCACCTCGGCTCTGGAACAGTCTGATGTGCAGATTTGAAATCTAATGTTTTTACCCTCTTTTGTCTTCTGATTTAACTGCATGTTGCATTTTGCTGTGTCTCTGTGTTCACATTAGTGATTGTTAAGCCCTTTGTGTTCCTGTCTTGAAAAGTGCTCTACAAATAAAAGTATTATAATTATTATTTTAACTTGTTAGGATTCTTATTGCCCCCTGGTGGCAGTAATGAGGTAAAAATAAACTAAACTAATGTGTGGTCTACACATCATTTTATCTGTTGGTTCATTAGTCAATGACACAGAGTCTTTGCTCCTGCTACACTGGGATTTAAAAACAAACATTATGAGTTACACTCAGTCCCTAGATAAAGCCCCCTCCCTATCATCACTTCTACTGGAAGTGACGCAGCAGCTCCTCGGCTGAATATAGCTCATATAGCACAGACACTTGGAGCAGCTAATGGGTCCCTGTTTGCTTTTCCACATAATAAAAACCTTCTTTTTGTGTAATGTTCTCGACTATCGTGGTCCACAACACACAAAGACGAGCTACTGGAGTCCACTGTGTCTTCTGAAACGGCTAAATCAGCATCCTTCATTAAAATAATTAATAAATCATGTTTGTAACTTTGATGCGCTGCCATAGATAAATTAATTTGTTCAAGAAGCTTAAGTGCAAAATATTTTTAATTGCCATATATGGAATATTCTTAACACTATGTGGTCCAATCATGATCCAGGATGCAGCTCAGTGGAGATGCCACAAGCATGAGAGACAAAAGATACTTTAAAAAATGTATAAATCAGATTAAAAAAAACATAAAAAATGACCAAATGGTTGAGACAACTCTTTAGAAATAGTTGTGAATCAAAATCAAGACATTTCAATTCTTACCTGAACTTGACCTCATGTTGTGTTTCTTTCGCATCAGGTGCACCGAGCTCCACAAACAACACACACACACAGACACAAATGTGGGATGCCTGTGTACCCAAACATTTATTCTGACCACACAGAAGACTCCGCCCTCTTCAGGACAGCACACCAGGCTTAATGTTTAATCTGTGTGTGAAAAGCACATGTATCTCTGCGTAATGTCTGCTTCTGTATTGTGCCATGGACTCAAAGTACAAAACACATAACAAGAAGGTTTGTGTCTTATCTTTCACCAACTTTCATCTGGTTTGTCTGGAAATGTCACACTTTGCTGTGCACGTGTGTGTGTGTGTGTGTGTGTGTGTGTGTGTGTGCGCGCACAAACAGTATCTGTGTTGCTGTTCCTGTGAGTAACAAACACACGACTGCAGGTCAGTGCCAAGGCCACAGCTCTCTGATAAATTGCACAAACAAAAAAAAGGATTGCGATTAAAAGTGTAGCTGTTGCAACAAGGGGGAAGAATAAACGCTGCTGATGCATTTTATCGACATTACAAGGAACTGCTTAACTGGAACAACAGAGAAAAGGAGGATGAAGGAGGGTGTTTTGACATTTACAATTATTAACCGTCATATCTGTTACATGAAGGAGTCTTACAGGAAGCCTTTCAACAGTGAGTTATTATCTTGCTGTTCAAGATTATCCACTGGGCTCACCTTTTCCTCATTTCATAATATTTATCTTGAATTCATTGTTTGTATTCAACAAGCCCTCAGATTCACTTTATTTTGGTATCCCTCAGTCGTGTCTTTCCCGTCTTCAGCTCGTACAAAATGCAGCAGCCAGTTCTCACACATTGAAAAGGAGGAGATCCCATCACTTCGATTCTGACCTCCTCACACCGTCCACCTGTCAAGCTGAGAATTGATTTTAAAATACTGCTGACTGTGTTTAAGGTGTTAAATGGACTTGCCCCCCCGCTTATCTTTTAGAACTCCTGTCCCCATATCAGCCGGTAAGAGAGCTTAGGTCATCTGACCAAAACCTTTTGTCCAAGCCTAGATCCAGGACAAGGTGTTATGGGTATCGTGTAATGATGCAGGGTAGTGGGACCCTTGGTATCTTTAAGTTATCCCCAGAGGGATGACCTCAAAAATCACAAGCGGTTAAATAGGAGGTGAAAAGATAACCAAAATAGTTACAAACCAAAAGATAGGCTTCCTTTTCTCCAAAGCCGTGAGATAAGGAGAAACATAACCTTGAGGCCCATGTTTAAACAGAAACAAATAGGCAAGGTCAGAAATTCCCAGCAACTATGACATTTACTTTAAGAGCTGATGGAAATAGTTATCAAGTCAGG